TTTGTGACCAGAGAGGCAATAAAACCTTTCAAAGGATGAAGTTTGTACTTTAACATTTTTGTACCCTGTCTCTTTTACATTGATATGTGATAGGGACACACAGACCTGCCACTTTATTAGGAACACCTTGCTGCTTGCTATTGGGCTGAACCTGCTTTTGCCTTCATAACTTCCTGTCTGCAGCAATAATTCTACTGGGCAAGAGTGACATCACAGGACTTCATCGTTCCTCTCCATCAGATCTCCATCTATGCTGTGTTAGATGGAGATGCGGTGACTATGGAAACCGCTGCAAAACAGCAAAATTGTGATGTTCAAAAATGGTTTGAAATTTGTGCATCCAAACGAGGAGTTTGACTCTGGTTCTGCTTTGCTGTCAATCAAGACATTTCAAATGTAAAATGTAAAAAGAGCAAAACGAGGCTTAACTACTGCCAGTAAGTATTGAATTAACTTTGACTGGTAAGTGAAGCAATGTGGGGGAAAAAACGGTCTTTGTGGCAACTTAAAGGTAAAAATCTTAACAGTTTGTGTCCAGGATGTGTAGGGTCTGCAGAGTTGCACGCTTCGCTTTTCCTGATCCTGATCCTAGATCTAGATCAGCTCTGATGATCCTCTCTTGGTACATATTTTCTTTCTAAATGATTGAAACTAAGTCACTGATGGATTATCTCTTTACATGTTTTCTCATTAACTTTTCAATCAGGTATAACAAGTGAATTAGTAACAGGTAAAGTATTAATTATTAGTTATATTTATACATCAGGCCTGTACTTTTGTTAAACCATTTCTGTTTTTTTTTTCAGATTGCAGATTTCAGATTGATTCTGTTTTTTGCCATAAGCGTGAAATATACTTGCCAACATTTTAATTTTCTCAAACTTCTAAATACATTGAATGTTTTACTGTACGGATGCCCATGACCATGAACCTAAAGCAGGCCTAATATATGTCTGAAATGTTTTATGAATGAAAAGACCCAGTGTTTCATACACCTATATTTAAACCTTTCAGATTCTCCATCCCTGTCCGTCCTGGCTGCTTCAAGCTGGCAATAAACACTATGTACTCTAAGAAGCTTGTTAATGAGGAAACGGAGACAGTCATAGTAGAAGTGAGAAATGTTGTGAGACATTCTGACATGACTTCACTGAGCTGCAGCTTTTAGCTCTGCTGACAGATGGAAACGGAGAGCATCAGACAGCTGGACAGACGGCGAGCAGATCCGTAAAAATTAATCAGGAATTCAATTCCTCTGGTTCAGAGTGTGTGATCAGCTCAGATCACACACTCAAATATCAGGTTGCATCTACCCTGGGATTCGTTTACAAAATATGCCATGTCATTGTTTCAATGTGCATCAGCCTGGTTTTCACATGAGGAGAAAGCCCAATGTGAAAAAGATTTACTGGAAATGTCTTCATCTTATATAAAAATGATTTAAGAGTGCATCCTGTTTTATTGGTGGAAGTACTGTGATAGTGGTGTCATATTGCTGGAGAGTTGCTTCTTATCAACATGGACATTTGAGGAATTTGCTTCAGACCTGAGTGTGTGAAAGGAAAATCAATCAACTTGACTGATTCTTAAAGGAAATATGTTCAGAAATCTGGTCACAAGAAACTTGCTGACAGATATAAAACAGTTTGTTTGAGGTCTAAGTTGCTAAAGAACATTTAACCAAATATCACTGGCAATGTATGTTTATACAGTCATATTTGTCTTCCAGTCAAGGTTTTTTTTTCAGATCAAAAGTACCTTATGAAAATAACTTTAAAGTAGATATTAAACAAATTCCACAATTCTGTATTAAAATATTCTTTATTGGTCTGATGTAATGCTCCAATAATAAATGTTTCATTAGCTGTAAGCAGGAAAACCCTGAAGGCCGGTTCCCTCCTGTGGACCCAAAAGCCTTACATGGGGAAATCGAACGACTGCGCTCCCTTCTGGAGATGGAGAGAGCCAGAAATTTTGAAGACAACCAAAAACTGGCCCACCTGGAGGCAGAACTGGAAGAGACAAAACTCCAGTTGAAAAGGCAGAAAGCTGTCAAAGAAATATACATCAACAAGGGCAAAGAGGCAAAGAGGGAACTTGAGCTGAAGATTTATGTCAGGAGGTTTCTTCAAAGGAGGAACTCCCAGGAGAAACCTTAGCAGGTTGTTCCTCAGACCTGAAATCTGCGGAAGAAACCAAGATTGATGCAGAAACCATCCTGGAGGATTTTGATAATCCAGGTACTGAAACCATCCAGGAGCCTGTCTGCTGATTAAATCATTTAATCAGCAGACAGTGTGATTTTCTGATATTTTGTTTTCTCATTTTGTCTCTCATAGTTGAGGTAACAGTGGTAAAACATGGACATCTAATACAGTCAATTGAATTATAAAGAAAAGCCACTAGTTCCAAGGAAAGCATATGTGATGTTAGATGGATATTAATATCAAATTACAGATTTTGAACCAGATGAAGCTACAACTGTTACTTGAGGAGATCTGGGTAGAAAATATCTACATAAAAAGATGTTTTCTTTTATCTTAAATGCAAAAGGTTTATATTTTTTGTACATTTCTGACTCAATTGCTGCTCTGAGTTTGTTGTTATTTCAGCAGTTACCCTTGTTTGAGTTTGTATACTCCAGTTAACGATTAATTAATTACTAAATGAGTTGATGATTATCCCAATAACTGATTAATTTGATTAATCGTTGTAGCCCTATTACAGAGCAATTTAAAAGCAACTCCTCATCGTGTGTGGCTCAGACCTCCTGGATGTTTTCCGTCGGCAGCTTCTCCGACCTCAGGAACTCCAGAACGGCTCCGAAGTGGGAACCGTCGCGGTCGATGAAGAGGCATCCCTGAGCGTCGGTACTGACTTTGGGCTGAGAGCCAAACAGCTCCGCCACCTTGGAGTCCAGGTGTCTTCTGAGCGTGCTCAGTGTGGTGCTGCACAGGAGACCCCTGACATTTAGCTGAACCACAGAGGAGTGCTGATGTAGGATAAATCCACAAATAATAACTTACTATAGTTATGTGATCAATTTAATAAAACTAGAAACATATGTCTCATATAAATAATGAAACATTCTAAAGTTCTCCACTTATTACTCGATGAAATAATTAAACTGGTGAATGCAGTTAAAATTTGAATCAAATATTTTTGTTGTTATTAATAGTATTGCTTCCTGTATTGCAAATCAGTTTCTCGTGAAAATATGTGGGGAACTTCATAAGGAGAAATTCTTAAGGTGGAGTTTGGGTCGGGCTACTTCAAAGGCCTCCAGCTTGTGACTCTGTAAGGTCAGGAAATCGTTGGTGGGTCAAACCAGGAGCTGCTGAACTTCATGACTCTGGTTGTTTAAAAGATTTAGGAGCTGCTGGGTGAAGCTGTAACAGACATGGGGTCAGAGCTAAAAGGTCAAATCCTAAAGTCTAGAATTATGACATTTTATCCTGAAGGTGACTTAAACACACTCTACACGTTGGTTTGGATGTCTGTCAGGTCAGATTCTGGGACTGTTTGTTAGTAAATGCATTAATTCCTCGTCTGTGTCTTTTTATATTTATTGCCTTGGTGAGACAGCAATGAAAATACCAAACATGTCAAACTTTACAGTGCAACCTTATCCAGTCTATTTGCAATGGTGTTTTCTCTCTGTGGAAGTGATGAAGGAAGGGAACTTGGAGCAATGAAGAGATAACAGTTTCATCCTTTTTTGGTTCTCATTCAGACATGAACTGATGACATAAAGTCATATTCTTTACATTAGAACATGCTTTCAGATTAAAGGACCTTCTGAAAATAACATTCAAGCAGATGTTAAAGCAGAGATTTCATTTCTAAGCTTATTCATTTCTTATGTAGTTTTTTGCAGAAGAAAACTTTTATATGTTTTTGTCCTCACCTCTCTACTTTTTAATGGAAGTTGGCAGCCGTTTAATATTCAGCTGCTGCAGATGATCTTTCTCTGACCTTACTCCCACTTCTAGTCTTCCTCTTTTCAACACATGTGCTAAAGATCAGACATTTTCTGGCAAACATGTTATATTTTAGCCTTTTTCCCCACTTTCTCATTGTGAGAAACACAGTCAGGAGATTAGATTGATATTTATTGGAAGAGAAACAAGGACAAGGCTAAAACTGCATCCATCTACTTTATTTCCTGGTTCTCTCAGTATAGCTGTGACCTTTACAAAATATATTTGAAAAAAAAAAAAAGTGATTCCTTTAATGATGCTTGTCAAGTCTCAATGTTTCATGCCAGTTCTGAGATCTAAAAATGATCCAGCGGATTGCGCTTGCATGATCACTGAGAATGTGACTTGGCCGGACGATGAGGCTAAAGATTCTGGCACGACTCTGGTGCTGAAAGGTTTTAATGTCAAACTGATTACTGAGTGTCTATTTATGAAAACACCTGGGGAAGCTTTCCTGATGGGCTTCACAGAGTGTGGTATTCACATCGGTGTATAATCTTGCAAAAGCTTTACAGTGAAATAATAAAAATGATTATTCATCATCTTAATGTCTTTGATTCACTGAAAACTTGATAAAATTCTTTCAGGCATATTTTTCTTTGTAAAAGATGCAGAGATCTGACTGGGACTGTAATGAAACTGAACTCTAGACGTGTTCATAGTTTGCAGACTACATACCATTCATGACCCGGTATGAAGGGTTACGCTCTCCAAAGTCTAGATCCAAATATATCACAGAACTCCACAGACAGTGTCTTACAAGGACATGGTAGTATTAGATCTCCACTAAACCGTCATGATCCGCAGGTGTTTGTACACTTTACCTCTTTTTGTTTTGTAGATCTGTGTTTTAGTTTAGGTCCTGGTGTGTTTTCTGTGTTTGTTTCCACTGCCTCTCTGATTCACACTCTTCCACAGCTGTTTTTCATTCCTCTGGTTAAGCTCACCTGGGTGTGCTTAGTCTTTTGTGACAAATTTCTTAAGGTAGTGGTCACAACAAAATTACACACTGACAGAGTCTAAGTTTATAGAGTTTATTGTGAAAAATTAAGGTAACATGACTGCTTAACTTGGTTTCTATGGCATCTCCTACAGTGACTAACTTTTTCACACATCCCCCCAAAAATAAACAAAATATTTGCTTAAATTACAAAAATTACAAAAATATAGCTTGCGATATTCATATTCAAGAATATAAACAGGATTTTAGATAGCTACATTTTAAAACAGTGCAATGCATGACTGCATTTTCAGTCTTTAGTCTTCTTTAACCATCTTTGCTCACCGCTCTCCTCTCCCCTCCATCTCCTTCACCGATTTAATTGCAGTCTTCCCACTGTTCTTCTTCTTCTCCTTCTCATGTCTCATCCTCTCTTTCTCCATCATCCAGTGGTCTCCAAGGTAACTCAGAGCATCCTCAGGTCGTCCTCGAAGTTGCGGCCTGGGGTCGAGAAGCGACTGGAAGAAGGAGCAGGCCAACTGTGTGAAACAGGCGAACTGAGGGGCGACAGGTGAACCGTCCTCCTGTCTGTTTCCATTCAGATCAGTGGCTCCCTGTGTGCTCTCCGTCTCAGGTTCTACCCACACATCCAGTTCATCATCAGGACCTTTTGCACTCTCAAACCAATCTCGATACTTTACATATGAGCAGCAGTCGCTGGCTGTCTCAGCCCAGGGGTGGCTGCCGGTGAGCATGGCGTATGTGAGGATGCCCAGAGCCCAGCTGTCTGTGCTGGGCTCCACAGACGCCCAAACTCTCTGCTTCTTTGTTTTCCTCATATCCCCATCCTCCTGAAAGTTACCGTTTTCGTCGTTTGTGCTGCTCCAGCTGTCCTCGTTTCCTCGAGCAATCTCAGCCTCCGGGGTGCAGTAAGGGGAACTAAACCAGACCTCTGGGATTCTGGTTCCCCTGGCCTTCACCTGGGGGAAACAAAAAATATCTTTAAATGCCACATTTAAACAATTGGTTCAGGTGTTTTTATTGGCAAGAATCTTTGTATAATGGCATATTATGCTTTATTCTGATAGTCCTGGACTGACCATGCCAAAGTCTCCAAGTTTGACCCATCGACACGCAGAGTCACACAGAAAGACATTCTCAGGTTTGACATCTCTGTGGACAAACCCAAGGGAGTGGAGGTGGGACAGAGCCCCACACAGCTGGGACACCACCCGCTGACAGCAGTCCTCCTCCATCCCTACCTGTGGACCAAGGTTTATCAGTCTTTCTGTCCATATTCTCTTATTTTTACTTTGAGCTGACAGTCCTTCATTAAAACTGCTTTTTCCTTTGAAACATTGTCCTTATCAGTCTCTTTCTTTGTTTACATGACAAATTAAAGCCCTAGCTGCATACCTCTGGTGTGATTACGTCAAAGAGATCACCAAAGAGACTGGCTTGCTGAGCGAAGATGTAATGTGACGGGGTGGAGTAAGCGATTCCCAGAGCTCTGGTCAGAGACGGATGGGTGCAGAACGACAAAGAGAGGTTGTACTCCCTCAGGAAGGAGAAAAGCGAGGTGGATTCCCGTGGGAAGAGCTTCAACGCCATCGGAGTTCCTGAGGGAAATGGAAGGAACAACATTTTTTTACTTTAAAGTTTGGTTTCTTGGAACTGTTTGGTTTTGGTTAACTAACTTTCTCACCTCTTTTTCTGTGCACAGCCAGCAGTACTTTTCCATACGAGCCTTCGCCCAGCAGCTTCAGGACCTGGAAGTGCTCTGACGTGTCCATCGCTATCAGAGATTGAGCCGTCAGATGGCACATCTCATCCAGAAGCTTTGTGGCAGCCTTGAGAAACAGATAACGAGTTAAAATGAGACTCATCAAACTGGAAAGTCAATGTATAAATGGTTAAAACTTTAAATTTGAACAAGTAGATATCATTCTTGCTAATTAGTTTTCTCTTATGAACTGAATTCCTGACACCGTTTGGGAATGCAACGCGACCGCTTCAGCACTGATTGTCGCCATGGTGACGTTGATAACATTTATCTGCAGACATAAACATGTCTGTTAATAGCCACATGAAACCTGTCGCACACACTGCTCCTGGTTTTGTCTGTTGATGTTTCCACTGCAGCTGGCACCTCTCAGGCCAAGGTTAGGTGTCAACATACAGATCCAAACAGAGGGCAGCTCATTACTTCCCATTAGATTCCAAATCAGAGCCGCAAATGTTCTGCATGCCGACACTGAATTCCTCAGCTTTGGTCAGACAAACAGCTTCTGAAAGTAGGAGGAACTTCAGTTTGGACAACGTTTTGTGCTCTTCAAACCTCATTCATTGTTGGGTTTATGTTAGGAGAGCAGAAAAAACAAAACCTTTTGCAATAATAGAAACAATCACAGTAGAACAGTGAGGCACAAAACTAAACATACACCTGGCAGATGTAGGTTCAGTTTTTACCAATATGTTTATTCTGCTTTGGAGTAATATTATGTTTCTGTGAGTCCAAACTGGAGGAAGCTAAACATTAGGGCGATGGGAAGGAGGCCTTCCAACTTCAAAGACTTGGATATCATTACAAAACATAAATCGTAAGAATAACATGTAAGAACCTTGCAGGAGGGTGGTTAGCAATTATAAAACTTTAATTACTGCAAAGTCAACACAGATTTCCTTTCCTTATTGAGAAGGGTGTAGATTATTGCTAAGCCAGTTTTTTTTTTTTTTTTTTTTTTAAGTAAAAGCTTAAATCTGGATTACCTATGAATATATATTAAGATATACCTATATTTTCCTATGAGAAACACATCTTTGTTGATGTAACATTAATTTCAATCTAAAATCTGCCAGAGGTATGAACAATTTTGAATTATATTTCGATACAATTTTGATATAAGATGATCCTGGTTGCAAGCATGTATTTAATATAGACACTGTTTATATATATAGTAATATTTACCATGCTTTACTCCATAATCTTCCCATAATCTTCCAAAATTTGGATATGATGCATTCAAAGAACAGTCAAAAATATTAAACAATCCTTGTACTCTCAATACATTTTTCATGTATTTTTTTTTACCTGCAACTGCTTCTTATTGCAGCAATAAAACTGACATATTTGCAAACTTTAAGAATTTTAAAGCTTTATATTAATCTGCAGTGAACCATTTTGATTTTAATTTCCAGTATTTGTTTTCTGCTTAGTAATCTTTACTCTTATCATTTTGAAAAGCCACATTGGAAGTTTTCAACCCTCATGGTGAAGACAAATTATTTCTATGGTCATGTTGTGAAAAGTTTTTTGCAGTGGATGTTTTCTGCCTTTAAATTGAGAAAATAAAATTATCTGCACTGCTCTCAACTTACTGTCATCTTGGAGTCCTGGTTTGATGTTGTCCCTTAAATCTGACCAAAAGAAATTACTGCTGAGGACGTCATGCAGCAGTAAGAATATTTCTCTCCCTGGTTTTCTGTGCTATAATTCTAAAGACAAAAAAAAAAAAAAACAACAAAAAAAAACATTGAGCTCTAAGTATCCAGTGGTCTTGATGGATTCACTAATTCACCAGATTTTGGACTCGATTAAATACACGTTTTCATGTCTTCAGCAGCTGCTGTTCTGTCCTCGTGTCCTCTTCTCCTCCTGCCTTTAATCTGCTGTTCCTGCTGCTGCTGCACTGCTGGACAGACCCTGAAGGGTGTCATGAATGTTTCTGCATGGGGCTGTGCAAAAGAGGGTGTGTATGTGTGTATGTGTGTGTGTATGTGTGACTTTTAATACGTGATTCTTTGTTTCATGTCATCTGGATTGTTCATCTTTCAGATTAACATTTTCCCTGCAATTTCTAAGAACGGTAGTGAAGGAGCAAAACTACGGTATAACACATGGCTCAATTTTAGGCTTTATTCTCAATATGCTGCTGTTGGGTGGAATCATCAGGAGACAGCATTGATTTTGGAGACATGTGGCTCATGAGTCTCCTAATGAACCCAGACTGACTGAATCACTCTTTATCTGGACATTAAAAGTTACATTTCACAGAAAAACTGAACCCAAATTTAAACAGTGGAAATAAATATTTTGGATCAGGTCAAAACCTCAGTATCATAATCACCAAATCTAAGTTTCAAAGGATGCTGTCATCATAAGAACATTGGCAGTGTGACCATTTTTCTCCCGGTCCAAAGTAGAGACTTTAGTTCATGTTCTTATAATCTGCTCTCTGTATTTTCTAAAAGAAATGTAGCTCTATTACAGCTAACACTGCTGCCATAACATCAATGAGGACCAGAAAGCACAATGATTTAAAAGTTTATGCATTGTCCATTTTAGAACTTATTTTATACTGACATAAATAAAAAAATAGCATTGGAAAGTCCAGATGGGTTCGATTTATTTGATCAAAAGAAAGATCTGTGTTTTCAGATGGTATGCAGTGAAATAAATTTTAAAGGCATGGTAGGGATGCAAAAAGCTAAACTTATTGTTTCACATTTTGATTAAAAAAGCATCAAATAAAAATGACTTTAATGGTCTCCTGGCCTCTTATAGCATAATAAATACTCTGTAATATTTTAAAATATTATACACTAACTCATATTAAGAATGATTAAGAGAAGTTTAATTTGTGCTTCACTGAAATTTCAGATCATGACAGTTGATTAGCAGCTCTTTAAAATTCCATCAACATTATCTGCATCACCAAATCTCTTAGTGAAACACACTCTATCTGTGCTGGTTGCAAACCAAAGTGAAGTGAGGCATTCGATAGGATTACAGCTTGCACAGAACATCTAAAAGCAGCCAAACATGTATTCAAGTATCAGATATCAGTTAAAAGTAGATATTT